TTTTAAGCCAAGCAAATAAAAAGTGTTCATCACCTAAACAATCAAATTTCTCTGCTAAATTTTAAATTTCAGACCACACCTACTTCAGTATTAGAAGTTTCAAAAATCACCTCTCCCTTTTATATTATGAGATAAACTTATTTGTTCCCCTTCTCTCACTTCAAAACAGCAACTTGATTTTTTCCTTGAACTTTGAGTTAACATCATATTTAGGCAATGTAAAAATATCAGTCCAAGAATTAGATGGTTCAAATGCTATGAAGAAGTTGAAAACCAGAAAGTAAAAGGTATTAAACAAGTGTGTTGCCACCATCCCATATGCTGTATGGAGCAAGTATATTACACAGGAGAGTACAGTGGCAACTCAAGCCCTATGGAGCTGCTTTTCGCTGTGCCGTGCAGCCAGGCATACAACAGAAACCTTCAGTGCAGAGCATATACTCTCACCTTTAGTGAGAGCTATATAACATGACTGGTTGTGGTTGTATAGATTTCTTCCCTGTGAAGTAGGGACATCACACAGTGATGTGCTGAGAAATAGATGGATCTGCAGTCTTTCCCAGGAACAGGATAGACCCTCTCTGCCTCTTCTCAGAGACCTGAAAGGAAGCTGTACACTGGCTCCAAGTCATTGCTGTTTTCAGCCTTGATGAAAACTTTTCCCCAGGTCCTCTTCACATGGTGCAATGCAATATTGAAAGAGAACTGCAGCCTACTGATATCACACTGGGGGAACAAATCGACTCTGATTCTACAAGAGTTCTTTTAGGAGGGGTTTGAGATAGAAGACAGTTTGAAATTCAGATTCTGGGCTGCACTCGCAGAACAGGGCATTAAAAAAGAATAATTTTGTAACTTGATTAAATATTATTCCATCTTGCTGTATTTGTGCTGTGAAAGGACCAGGCACACACCAAAGCTTATGCTTATAGACTCTGTGAAATAAGTAAGTGAGGAAGCTTAGACAGGAGATAGAAATGTCAATATTCTGTTGGATCTGGGCCAAGCTTTGACAGTGTAAATAATGCACAAAGATGGCAGAAGACCCTTCCTCAAAGAGCATGATGTCTAACAATGAAGAGTAAGTTACCGAGAAGTAACATACAGAACTTCCCACTACAGGCACAAGGCCCTACTTTTCTTATCCTATTGCTTTTAAAACCTCACCATTCTACATGTAGGCTTAGCAGGCCTCCTCAAACTAGCCTATAATCCTTTTCTTATAGCATGTGTGGCTTCAGCAAGAGATTACCATCTCCTGAAACACGTGGGAGAGCAGTGCAAGAAAAACCCTGATGCTTTTCTAGCTCTGAACATTAAAGGGAAGTAGTTAGAGGAGGAGAGTTAGAAACATATGATTAGACACCTTTTAGTGGTTCAGTTTCACAGCCCTTCAGGCAGCCTAGAGTCAATTTATGGGAGCTACAGAAGCACCAAAGCAGGAAAATGCGAAATTGAAGTGGTCTTCCTCAGCAACATAACTGAGAAATAAGACAAGAGCCCAATCACCTGCCCAACAGAAACCACACTGATCCAGGCAATGGAATTACAGTACTTTTGGCTGCAGTAGAAGCAGGGCAAAGTTTGAAACTCTGCAAAGAGAATACAAAGCACACCATCTGACCTATCTATGATGTGATCCAACATGTGCCTTCCTCAGAATGTTTTATGAGTTAGTTGAAAGATTATTCAAGAAATTGACCAGTGACAGTGGCCTTTGGGGCTGCAAGGGAAGCACTAAAGACTTTAACACCCTCTTGCACAGGATGAGAGGTTCAGGCCTGCCATAGTCCTAACCTTGAAGGTTGGCAGAGACAGAAGGAGAGCACAAAAGGCACCTTTGCTATTGCAATAAACCCAGAAAACTTCAGGGAAACAAAACCCATTTTCTCTGTAGGCAAAGTAAAAGTAGATCCACAGGTTGCCATGGATACAAAAGTCCATTTACTTTAGTAGTGTTTTCTAGCAGCTAAACACAAGTATAAGTGATTAAGGGGAAAACACAGCTATGTTTGTAATGTTCCATTAGGTTTATATAATTAGTTCTTTCAACTGCAAAACACCCCTGATGGCCTTTTTCTTGACTGTTCAGAAAAACCCAGTGGGCTGATGAGGCCATTTTTAGAACCACCTGTCCTACCTCTGCCTCTCCACAGTCATTTGGGATCACTAGAATGGCAATTTTCACAATTCAGAACCCTTCTTTGGAGTTACAGTAATCCAGTTGGTGTTTGCATGGCTGGTCTGAGAGGAACACATGAACAGCTACATCTTAGATCATAAGGCAAACCAAAACCTAAGGCATACAACTCTATGAGGAGCCTTTATAGTCCTGTCTCAGAAAACTGATCTTTTCTTCCCATGCACGACAGACTAAAGCATTCTCTCTGCTTGTGGGACAGGCAGACGAACAACTTGTCTTTGTACAGACTATGCTGAAAGAGGGGAAAGTTCCATCAACTCAAGGTGCATATGCATGTACTCCATCTTTAAAACATCACTTTGGATTGGTAATTGCAACGGTCAGTCCTCCCTGAGCTCTTGTGTCCAGCATTCTCTTCAAAAAGGAAAGCTCAAGTTCTGACATCTGGCATGCCGCTAGGAGGGAAGGTCCTGGCAGTATCCAGCTGTGATGGGAGCCTGTTTTCAGAATGAAGCATGGCGTGAGTTGGGAGAATTTGTCTTTGCTGGAACCAGCAGCTAGAGAAGGCTGGGTGGATTTCTTCAGCCTCTGGACTGTTTCCACTAATACTTTTACTGGGAGCCCATTCTGATAAATCTTTCTAACGTCCTGGACTTCAGAGCAGTCCTTCCCACTGTCGTGTTTTACTGAAAAACAGCAAACTTAAAGACATTTGAGTGTCCATTTACAATTTCATGAATCTGGAAGAGGTGATTGCTACATCACCTGGATGGACACCTCCATGCATCCACAAATCTAAAGTTTATTTCAATGTCTCTAATACAAAGAACCTGTCGACATCTTTAAACTGGATTTTTTCCATCTTAAAAACCATTGTGTGAAAGGTCATCACAGGAAATCACTATCTTTTGTTTCAGGGGAACTGCATATAAACCAGAGGACATTTGTGAAGAGTAATCTGTGGTTTCCTACATGCCAACCCAGCAAACCAGATTCATGAGGTTCAAGCTGGCTGCTTATCATTTACAGCAAGATAAAATTCTGCAAGCCCAGCAATGCCTCCCTGTCAGGGTATTCTGAGGAGATATGGTGGCATGGATTAAAAGGATAGTTTTGCCTACAAAGGTATGATTTCTGATGAGCAGTGAGATGAAACAAACCCAGTGTGACACCCAAGTTACAGGCTAAGTTGGCAGAGCTCGCAGTAAAAAGTAATTAAAAATCCATTTATATATAAACTTAGTATTTTTTTAATATAATCAATAAGACAGTTACGTGTCTACTTTTCAAAGTAGAAGTATAGCTTAAATCTCACCCCTGAAATTGTACTGGGCTTTCCTGTTTTCTAAAGGATGCGCAGGAGATGGATTCTTTTCTCTGGATTTGGCCGTGTGCACTACATAGAACTTAAAAGTTTTAATGAAGTGCTTGTAATTTAAAAACATCTGAATAGAACATAAGATTGGTCTTTTAAATACCTACACAGTCCAGCTTTCTTCATATTCCAGGTTGTGCTAGAGTCCTTGAGAATCATCAGAAGGACATTTTGTTGTTTTAAAGACAGAAACATTTGGTATTACAAAATTTGTAAAATCTGTAGCAGTAAATCTTCAGATCAACCTACACTGAAAGTTTGCATCAAAAAACTTAAGTACTATTCCTCCCCCACTTGCATACGACCAATCTACAGGATCCGATTACTGTTTATTTTGAAAGTGCTGCTGTGAAAGGATAGGCTCTATAGCTGCCGTTGCTGCTGGTGAGAAAGGAAGCAGGGACTGTCTTAATGAGTGTTGTACAGTAACCAGCACAGTGGGATGCCAATAGTAATAATAATAAACCTTGATCGGAGATTTCAAACATTCTTGTAACACCAGAAAGACTGTTCTGACTGCTGCACAACCAGTGGCTCCAGCTGCTGTATGAAATCCTTCCATTACTCCGGGGATTCTTCTGAATCATGTTTAACTAAACCAGTAAGGGTATGGGTATTTTTACCTCCCTCCTTTTTCTTGTGCCACCATATTGCTTTTAAATCAGTGGCTATTTTGGAAGAATGATTACTTCACACTATACTTGCCCAAGAAGCCAAACCTCACAATGCAGGGGCTCAGCCCCACAACCTACAACATGCTCCAGAGCTGATTCTAGCAGTGGCCAGGCGCACCCATGTCACCCCAGGCCTATGCAAAGCCTGACTGGAGCATGAGCCAGGTGGCAGGCCCGGCAGCCAAGACGCCTCACAGCCTTGTGCTCCAGCACCTTCCCTGCTTTGATTCAAGGGACTTCCCAGTGCTGGAGCTCTGTGCCCTATTTTGAGGCAGCAACATCAGGGGCCCGACTGCCATGGGTCAACCTTGCCAGCCACTATGAGCTGGTGAGGCTCCAGCCACGCTGTCAAGCCCCCGGCCCACCCGGGTACTACCTCAGCGCCTTTCTCGTCCCTGCGAGAGGCCCCCGCCGGTAGCCCCTTTCCCGCGGGATCCCTTCACCGCACTCCCCGCACAACGGGCGCTACTCGCGGGCCCGCCGGCAACGAGACTAGCGCTCTTGGCGCTGCCCTGTCCGACTGCAGCACCACAAGCGAGTGGACAGCTCCGGACAGGGCCGCAGCCATGGCCGGAGCCGGGGCCACGGCATGGGGTCGGAGCAAGGGACAAGGACTCTGGTCAAGGGGCTCGGGGAACCGGCAAGGACCCGGGGCCGGTCACGGCGCAGGAACCCCCCTTCCGGCGGCATCGCGCAGCGGCTGCATCGCCGCAGCCGGTGCTGTGGTTTTAAATGGGCGGAGCGGCAGCGGGCGGCAGGGCGGGCGGTGGGCGGTCCGCGCTGGCCCGCGGCGCCCATATAACCCCACCTCCCGGGCGCGGACTGCCGCGGTAATTGGCTGGATGTGGTACTTGGAGATGTTGAGCTGGCTCCTTCCCCCCATGTCCCTGCACACACACAGGGGCGGGTGGTGCGGGCGGGAGCGGGAGGCAGGGCTCAGCCCCGACGGTGGTGGGGCGCCCCCCACTCCCTGCCTGCCGACCGCCGTGTCCGAGCCGCTCCTGCTGCTGGGCTGCTGCCTGCGGCCGCAGGACCCCGCCGAGCCGGGCCAAGGGGAGCGCGGGCGGCTGCTGGCGGCGGCCGAGATGATGGCGGAGGGCGGCGGCGGGCCGGCGCGGAGGAAGGCGCTGTCGCTGTTGGAGGCGGCCCGTTCCCGCTATGAGAGCCTGCAGATCTCCGACGATGTCTTCGGGGAGTCAGGCCAGGACAGCAGCGGGAACCCCTTCTACAGTACCTCGGCCGACTCCCGCTCCGCCGCCTCCTCCCAGGACGAGGACGACGACGAGGAGAACGAGGGGCGCCCGGAGGGGCTGAGCCCGCGGGGCAGGGCGGCCAGGCGCCGCGTCCCCCGGGCGGTGGCCACCCCGGCTGAGAGGCGGCGGCAGCGGCAGGGCGGCGGCGGTAGCAGCGCCGTCCCGGGCGGCCCCGGCCCGATGGAAGAGGAGGAGGAGGAAGCGGAGAAGGGGGGCTGGACCCGGTCGCTGCGAGACGTCCCACCCCCTCACTTCAAGGATGGCAGCGGTACGCGGGGAGCGGGCTGCCGGGGCAGGGGCGTCGGGCCCGGGCAGTTCTAGGGAGCGGGGATGCCCGCGGGGGATGCCCGGAGCGCGGCGCCGGGCAGGGAAGCCCCTGCGGGCCCGACTGTCGGCCTAGGCTGGTGCTCGGCCTTGGGGCGGGGGGGAGGCAGGTGCCTCTCGCCCGCTGCTTCCCGGGAGCGGCCTTGCTGTCAGACCGCTGGTGCGGGGAGAGCCTTGCCGAGGCAGTGCGCGGGAGGGCAAGGGGAGGCCGTGTGTGCTTAGTCACAGGCACCCCGGCGCCGTAGCGGTGCCCTGAGCGCCAGCTGCCACGGGATCCCCGCGGACTTCGGGCAGGCTGTCCCTGGAGCGCAGGTCCCCATCTCGGTCGTGCTCCGGGGTAGCCGGTGGCTCCTCTTCCCCCGTTACAGGTGGGGAAAGCTGCTGGTCTGTGCAGGGTGGGTGACCTGAGCTGCCCTACACATTGCGGTGTGCAGAAGGGCTCTGGGAATGGAGCTGGAGTTCCCTCTGGCTGCAAGGCTTTCTGTGCAGCCGTCCTTAACCTTAACCCTTCTTGTGTGGCTTTTGTCCAGAGTGAATACCAGGATAGTGGTGAAATGACATGACGTGACCTACAGCAGCAGTGCACAGCACTGAGATCTCCTTGGACTGCGTTGTGTGACAAGTTGAGCCACTGGTTTGCCTAGGGATCCTTTATAACCTGTCTGTCTGCAGGCCTCAGTATCCAAGTCGACTGTGTAGCAGCAAGGCTTGGCAAAAAGCGATTAATAGTTGTGAAGAGCTGGAATGTGAAATAAAACATTTGGACCGCAGAACAGGATGTGATGATTGCTGTCATCATCAACTGAGCTAATAGTTTGCCTGTCCTAAGGTCACCTGTCATCAATGTTTTTTTCATAGTGTTTAATTCCCTCGCTTTGCTGCTAAAAGGTAAATGCAGAACAGTGCTGCTACACTTGGAGTGGCGTGCTGACATTTGTGCAATGGGACAGGTACAAATCTATCTGAGGAAGCAGCTTGGGATGAGGGAGTAAGGTGAAGCTAGCACTGGAGGCCAGAGAAAGTTCTGTCATGCTTCTGACAAATAGAAGTTACATCTACCTGTAGAAACAGCTAGAGCCTGTAAAATGTTTAAATATAAAGCTGATGTGCATTCTTAAAGAACTCCCAAGTTTTATTGATGATTGTTATTCATAAGCATACCTGAGATCATGAGCCATAGGCTTAATGGTGTGATGCTGTTTCAGCATCAACTATCAATTTCTCTGCCTTTGCTGGCTTATTTTTTCATGCAGTTACTTGATAGTAATATCCATTTTAACATAGGCAGACCTGGGATTAGGATCTGGTTTGGAAAAGAATTAAGTTGATGACCTATTAATTCAAGAATTCATATTTCCTTTGAAATAAAGAAGTCTGATCTATGGTTGTCAGATGCAGACGTCTCTTGAGGAACGTGTATGGGTATTGCTGTGAATGTTTCCTCCTAGTAATAGACAGAGAAGAGGTTGCTGCTGCCCTTTCATTGTGTCGATGATGATAGATGCTGCATGCTGTGATTTGATTTGATAGAAGTTCGGTTAGTGTCATGATTTGATACGTGTAAAATGTGTACCTGCTGTATATTTTGACTACTGAAATTCCAAGCAATGGAAACTACTGCATTGTATATAACTAAGCTCTTATAATACTGGTTTTGATTGACCAATTTTAGACCATGCATATGTCATAGTTGGAGTCATTCTAGGCATACTTGTGCTGGCACCATTGTTGCTTCACTGGACACTGCTCTGACCCAAGAGGTTGGATCCATACCTGCTGAGGAAAAGGTGTCTGCTGAGGTGAAGACAGCTGTCCCTTGCAGTGACAGCACATCTTTTAGTCCCTGATGGAGTACAAACAAAAAATGCAGGATCAGACACAGAGCACTACAAAACTGTGTTCTCGGTTCAAATGTGTTAAATGTAAGAATCCTTTATTTCCAGGTTCTGAGCTTAAAGGAAGAGGTTTTCCTGAGACTGGGCTAAAGCTTATCTTTGGTTAGCACCAAAACTTCAGAGAGAGAAGAATTATAGTGTCAATTTGATATCATCTGATGCCAGAAGACAAATGTCCTTGTGAACTGAAGTTCCGTGAGACTTCAGCTATGTCAGTGCTGGAAATAAATCCTTGAATTAAACTAGGATCAAGCTTGGTGTCAAGCTTTGGGGTTTGGGACTGCCCCTTCATGAAAGGGAAGGCGCGTAGAACGAAGAGGTTCAGGTTAGTTAATGAGAATGAGCTAAAACTCCTAAGGGAAAGAAAAAAAATTGAAGAGCCACTTATGAAACTCTTGTGGCCTTTTAAACTACGAGTAGAAAATTCTGTTCCTTTTTTTTTTTTTTCTTGTAAGTTACTTAATACTGTCATTCTCTCCCTTGATATTAAATTGATGTCTTGAAAAGTATTGTAGCCATTCCTAGAATTAGTCTTGAGCACAGGCAGGCTAACTGGTACTTCATTGCAAAAAGTATAGTCGAGTCCCAGGAGTGCTGGGTATTGCTGGCAACGTTAGATGGTTCAGTATGTCCTCAATCTGAAGTTAGTCACTGCATGTTTTCCTGGTGTCACCTGCCTTGGCTGTGTAGCAGGTTCTGACAAACTGGGAAAGGCCTGTCAGGAGAGAAGCGACTGGATGGTATTGCTGTGCAACACTACTGTGTGTGTCTGTAATCTTTGTTTTCTGCCTCTTCCTCAGGATCTCTAATACTGTTGTTCCTGTTCTGTTTAATTAAAATAGTGGGTGCTTAAACTCCCTGGGGAACGGGGACGATGGGATGAGACACAACATGAATAGGTTTAGCTGACTTCCTTTGTGGAAGTCCAAAATAGCTGTTAACTTTAACACAGAGGTTGGAACAGATGGCTTGCTGGCACTGTGTGTTACTTCCAGTTGAGCTACTCTGTGAAATTATTTTTTTTAGTTGCTGAGAAAAATCCAAACCATATTGTGATGCCCTGATTTTTAAACTATAACTAGTGGCACTGTGTAGTTCTGGTTAAAAAAGGTTGAAGAAACAAGTACCTGTTACAAATATGAAAGCAGCAATGCACATTTTGAGGTACTGGGGTATGAATAGTGGATAGGAGGTCTTGGAGACAGTTGCTGCAATGCCCTCTCTTCAGAAAGAGTGCCTGGTTAAAGCAGGTCTGTGGGTAGATCAGTATGTGTTGAAAAAGGTAGCGTTTATGATCAAATGTTAGATCCCAGCATGTTTTGGCATCTACCTTCTCATTCTCTCCCAGTCTCCCTGTGAAGGGGAAGCAGAATTGATTTGATGGAAAGTGAACCTACATGTAGGTAGGCTTCTAGGAAAGGTCTGACCTCTGTCCAAACAGTACTGTAATTGTAAAAGCAGGGATAGCTGGGACTCCTCTGGCTTCCCTTCATCTGAGGGCAGGGCAGAGGTAGTTGTGGAAGTGCAGAAAGAGTAAGAGAACAAACTGCTGCTAGGAGAAGGAAAGCATAATCGAAATAGAGCAACTATTACTACTTTTAGTGGCAAGCTAGTAAGTGCCAGTGGCATGCTCTTCCTTCCTTCCTGAGTGGGGTGAATGAGTGATACGTTCCCTTGTTAGCTCAGTAATCTGGCCAGGAAATGTTCTGTAATAGATGAAGGTGCCTTTGGTTGTGGTTGTTCCTCATGCAGGGTCTTAGAAGGTACAAATATCCTGGTATTGCTGTAGTTTCATATTCCTGAATTGGGGTAGCTGGTGTTCCCTTCCTGAGTCCAATACTTCCTATATCAATATAGTTCAGTGACCAGAAAGTTGGACCTCAGGTGTAAGAGCACTTCTTATTAAGGATAATGTTTTAGAGTGGCAGCAGTGATGGTGCTCTGAGCAAGAGTTAGTGCTGAAGTCCTCAAAGTTACAGCCAATCGGTGCTACTGTTTTTTTCATTTTCTACACCCTCTGAACCCTTTCATAAATCTAGACCTGAAGACAAAATGTTAAGAATGTTCCTTGCTGAAAGAGTGTAGCAACTTGATCTCCAACTTGCATTTGGAGAGTGTAGCTAGCTTTTTATGGATTTCCAGAGTACTTCTCTAAAACAGTTTGTCCTAAGTTACCATCTTTGAAGAAGATGCTCTCAAGGAGAAGTTGCATATGCCATGTCTAGCAACCAGGCTCTCCTTATCACCTTGAAGAGGTTTAAATGAATATATAAAGTAGTTTTTAATTTTTCAATTTATTTTGGTTTTTTTTTTTTTTAGAGGGAATGTTAATTTCCAGAAAGACCAGGATGTGGGAAACAGGCATTTATTCTGTCATGGCTGCCACAGGAGAGATGGTCTTCTGCACAAGTGAGGGTATGCAGTCTGACAGATGAAATCAACCTGCGTGTTCCAGCTAAAGTCAGGGAAGCAAGGCACACCTTTAAATGCTAGGTTGTGACTACCATCACAGTAGAAAGGTTTTTTGTGTTTAATCACAAATGTCTGTTTGCATGTCAGCTGATAAGACATCACTCTTGATTGTATTTTTCAGCTGTTGTTATTTTATGAATGTTAAATAAGGAAAATGAATTTAGTTCCTCCAAGTTAGTCACCAGTGAATCCTGCGGTACAATGTATATTGATATGGCATGGAGTTAATTTGACCTGTGTTTGAGTACTTTTACTAGAGGTAAACAATTCAGTTAAAGAATCAAAGGAGAAGAAAGTGGTACAGGTAAAGGGAGGGAAAACTTCTAGCTGTTACCTGCATGGCTATAACTGTAACTGGTCAGAGAGTTGTGGCAAGTCTTCGTGGACCAGTGTGCATGTTCTCCCCAAGAGTATGGACAGGTGGATGGGAAGGTGGCATTCCAGCAGCAAGGAGCCTGGAGGCAGAGCTCTTGGGTCAGGCTGGGCCATAAAGGAGGGCATATACATATCACCATCTGAGAGTGCTGATGATCTTGGGTCAATGGAATCTGAAGGCTTTAGTCCTATTAGATTGAGG